GGACGTTCGGGGTGAGCGGCACGTCGGAATTTGCGCGGATCGTGAACTCCATCTGGCTGTTTTTGCGGATGTTCGGGGTCAGCGGCACGTCTGAACTTGCGCGGATAGTGAAGTCCACCTGGTACCCCTTGTGGACGTTCGGGAAGGGCGCCTACGCGACATGCGAACTTGATGTTGGTGCACGTTCTTGCCAAGCTCTTTGATTTCACGCGCTTCCCGTTCATGTCAATATAGATCTCTGAGAAGCCCCCCTGTTTGCGTCGAGGCCCCGCCATTGCCTTAGAAACCCACGCCCTTCGCGCCACACCTTTGCGGCGGTCGCCGCTGAGAGGCCATATCGCCAGCACCCGGGCGGCTGACACTGCCACTCGAGCAGCAGCGCTGCCAGGTGAGCGGCGATCAAAAACAGGTCTTACGCGAGATGGCGCAGCGACCTCACGCCGCAGCTTACGCGGGCCGCCACCGCGGCACGCCACATTGGACACGAGGGCGCTTACGTGCGACCGTACGCGGGCAGCTTCCGCGCCAACGCCGGCGAAGACGACCCCGCTTTTTGCTTCGCCCAACTGGGCGCTGCGGCCTGCACCGCCGCACCGACACACTTTTACGTCCCACCGTGGCAGAGGCAGTTTGCATGCGCGCTCGGGCAAGCTGGGCGACGGTATTGCGAATTGACGGGCGGCAGGAGTGGAACAGGGGGGGGGGGAGCGGCCGCGGGAGAGGGCGGAAGAGCTACAGCGCTCACGCGGCGGCGGGGCCAGCTCCGAAGCGGCTGGGGCGGCTGGCCGGTGTTGCACCCTTTGCAACGGGCGCGGGGCGGCGTCGCGGCCACACCCAGGGGCCGGGGCAGGGGCCGGTGCCGCAGCAGGGGCACACGCGGGGGGCGTCCTGCAGGCGGCCGCGAGCCCTCGCGAGTTCATGTGCCTCTGGCCGCGCAGGCGGCGGGGCTCCGCACCGCGGCCCGGGTGGTGTTCGGCGCACTGAGCAAGGAAACGGGAGCATGTCGGCGGCGAACAAACAATGGAAGGTAGGAGGCAACTGCTGGGAGGTTTCCGTCGGAAAAAGTAGGGAGGATTCAACCCCTCTTGGGGGCTGCTACGCCGGATTAGGCCGCGGATTAAGCGGGATTAAGCGGCATTGAGCGGAACGGACCAGATTAGGCTGGATTTCGGGCCCGGGCAAAGTCAGAATTTGACCTCCCAGGAGTTGCATCCGAAAGCAAGGAAGCGGGAGAATGTCGGCGGCGAGCGAGGGAGGCAAGAGAGGAGAAGGCCTTCACAGAAGGCGGCGGGGCTTCTCAGAAGCCCTCTGGCCTTCTGAGAGGTTCTCTGCGTCTTCGGGGAAGGTTCAGGAAACTTCGCAGAAGGCGGGGGGGCCTCCGAGCCTTCTGAGACGGCCCGCCCTTCTCTCTTCCCCTCCCGGGCTCGCCGCCGAGTATGGTCTAGCGACGCGTGGATTAGCGACGGGCCCCGCTTCCACACGGAATCGGCGCGCTCCGTCGCCAGGCGAAGCGGCACCAGCGCCAAGTTTCAGGGGCACTTTCCCCGAGCCGTGCATCTGGCGCCCGGGGCCTAGATCCGCGGAGCCCTGGTCCATGTCAGCGCGTGCCCGAACTGGGCCCGACGCGGCGCCTCGGCCCCCCACGGCGGCCGCCACGATCTCGCCGCTGTGGCAAGGGGCCAAAGAACTTCGCAAGGGCAGGACCAGCCATCATCGAATCGGAAAATCGAGTCGAGTCGAATCGGAAGGTGCGCCGGATCGGGCTGCGTCGGCACGGAGTCGGCATAGAATCGGGTCGGCGGCGCCAGGCTGCGCAACAACGCTGTACAAACATCGGGCCGCCTCAGATCGCTGGGAAATCGAAATCGAACCGGATCGGTCGAATCGAAAGGAGCCCCGCCGGGCCGATCCCCGCGAGCTCTGCTGCGGGCGGCCGAGCGGCGCCACGAGCGCAGGGCACGCGAGGAGGCTGCACGCCGAGCGGGGCGGCGACGCGGAGGCTCGCAGCGTCGGGGCTCGGCTCCGACGCCGACGTCTGGCACGGCGCCCCCGCGCGCCCAGACGCGGGCGGCGGCTTCCCAAAAACAACCGGCGCGCCGCCTGGGCGGAGACCTGGGCGCGAGGCACGCGAGGTGGCCGCCCGGCGCGACAGCCCCCACATTCGCGACGGGGAGGGGCCACTGGGCAACCAAGCGATTGCTCGTCGGGGCGCTCCGCGCGGTGCGATCGGGCAGCGCGGACCAGCCAGCGGTGTGCCCCCCCTGCGTTGCAGGGTGCGAGGATCGAGAGCGCCGTTCTGGGCCTGCCCGGCGTGGGCCGTCGCTCGGAAGGCAGCGCTGCAGGGGCCCAGCTTTGCGCTGACCTCGCTGTGAACCTTGCCGCCAGGCGTTGCGCTCACCAGGGTGCTGCCCGTGGACGCCAGGCTCAAGACTCTAAGACTCTGGCGACGGCGGCCCGCCTGCCGCGGGTGCTACCTCAGCGTCATCCCCAGAGCTCCCCGACCCGCGCCCGCAGCGGCTTGAAGCCCAGACGCACGGCTCCTGCAAGCGCCCCGGCGATCTCCTGATGGCACGAGCGGCTTGGGGATTGCGGCTTGGGCGTCCCGGCGCAAGCACGGCCGACTGCAGCGACCCCGTCGACGGTGCGCAGAAGGCGCAGCGGACAAGGTCACCGCCATAATGCACGCGGTCGTCGAGGCGGGCCAGCCCGTCGAGACTGCAACGGGCTCACACTTCGTCCGCAACTTGGGCGTGGGGCAGTGGGCCGGGGCGTGTCACCTGAGGTGGTCGGCGCCACACTGCCGCAGCGGCTTCCCCACCCCGCGCGGGGCCGAGGCGCACCTCGAAGCCGAGGACGCGCGTGCGGGGGATGACTGCCGAAGGCAGGGGGCAACGAGGCGGCCGACCGGCTCGCTGGCGCTGCGCCGCAGCTGTCGCCGTCTGACCTCCGCGCGGCGCGGGGCCGCCAGCTGCGGGCGCTGCGGACGCCGCAAAGCTGCTGGCGGCGGTGCTGGCCGCCCTGGAAGCGCACCACGACTGCGCCTGGGCCTGCGCTGCGCCCAGGTGGCGCGAGTGGCGGCGGGGTGCGCAGGCGGCTCAGCGGGCGAAGCACAGCATAAGAGGAACTGTTCCGCCGTCGGGGGCGCCTGCCCTCTGGGCAGTGGACTGAACTTCTACGCCGGTCTTCGCCCGCCAAGCGGCGGCGCCAGCGCGCGCCGCCTCCGCCGGCCGCCGCCGGGGGCCCGTCGCCAGCCGAGGCGAGGAGGCCGCGGTGGCGGCTCGGCACCGCCAGCCACGGGGCAGGCCGCGCGCGCCCTCCCTGCCGGCCGCGCGCGGCAGGCGCACGCCTCCCTGCAGGGGCCTGCATGCCTCGAGTGCAGCTGCTCGGCGCAACGGCGACGGCGACGGCGACGGTGACGGCGACGACGACGTCGACGACGACGACGAGGACGACGACGACGTCGACGACGACGAGGACGACGGCGACGACGACGACGACGACGACGACGACGACGACGACGACGACGACGACGACGGCACTCCACGCGGTGGCCGAACACCCCGTCCCCCCCCCCAAACGAGATGGCATGGGAAGCTTACGCGACGGCTTACGCGGGCCGCCAGCATGGCGCACCACGTCGGAAGCGAGGGCGCTCACGCGCGGCCGTACGCGGGACGCTCACGCGCGAATCTCGGCGCATTCCAACCCTGTCTTTTTGCGTCGCTCAACTGGCATCTGCACGCTCTCCCCTCCTCTGCCGAGGGGCTCTCGATGCGACCCCACCGTGCGGCTCCAGGGCTCGAGCCAAATAGTGCTTTTCGTATTCATGCTGTTTTCGTTGTCCTTCGCTCTATTGTCCTTCAAATCACAACGAAAACGGTCCACGAGATCGCCAAAACACCGTCGGATGACGACGACAATCTGCCCGAAACGCGGTGCCTGTCCCCAAGGGCCGCGAGCGCTCACTTCCAAAGGGCACGGCAAGGTTCAGCAACGAAGAGCAGGGCAGGCCGTGTCACACAGCACAGCGCAACACGCTGCAAAGCAGAAGCAGCCAGCAGCGAAAAGCCATCGGCCCCACGCGAAAGTGGCACTGGGCAAGAATGACCCCTGGCCCGCGGCCTGCCGATCGCTGCGCGCGATGCGACACTGGCGGCCCCAGTCCTCGGGTCGGGCCCCCCCGGCGCCCCCCGAAGGCCGCGCTCCCCGGAGGCCACTCCGGCGAAGGGCCCGCTCCTGCGGCGTGGCCGACGCAGGGCCCGGGAAGCCTGAGCCTGGCCATGGCCGGTGCGGGGGTCAGGTCGGGCCTGTCCTCCTGCAGGGGGATTTGGGACGAAAAATACCAGACAGTCAGAAACACCCGAAAGCGGCCAGAGAATTCTGAAAACATCGTCCCCGTATCATCTTCTGACTACTTTTGAATATTCCTCCTGTAGAGGGATAGGCCCGACTTGATGCTGGGGGGCAACGATAGGGGGGACTGGCATAGGGGGTGACGCATCGACCTGGAATCGGCGATACATCGCCGATAGATCGGTGATAGGCCCCCGATAGTGAATCCGCACCTTCCTGGGCAGGTTGGGGCTATCGGGCCCCTATCGGCGATCAATGGGCGATTGATTGGGGGTCGATGCATCCCCCCCTATGCCTATCCCCTTCTATCGTTGCCCCTGAGCGGTGCCCAGGAAGCGGCGAAGTCCCAGGAACTGGTTGGCCCCGGCTGCCCTGCGAGAATGGAGAGGGGAAACGAAGGGGCCCCTTCGGCGGCGCCGAGCCCTGGAGAATGCTGCACCGCCCGCCCCCAAGACATTGAGCCTGCTCCTGAGGCGTCATCCCTGGCCGTGCGAGACACGTGCCTCACGACCCCGAGGAGGAGAAGGAGGAGGGTGAGGTAGAGGATCGCTGGCGTGCTTGGTTTCTTGCTCTTGCAGGGCCAACGCACTGGCCGTCGTCCCAACGGGCTGGCTGGGATAGGCCGTAGCACAAAGCCTCAGATCTGCTCAGCGCGTGCACGCGCTGTGAATCTGCTGCGTCCACGAGTGATCATCTGGTCCGAGGAGCCCTGCGGGATCGCTCCCGACACCCGAGACGAACACCTCCAGGTCATTCTGGTAGTACACATCCCCATAGTTTTTGCGCCAAACTGAAGACCAGGTCAGGGTGACCGTATTCGGGACATCGCCGAGGTTGCAAATGGCACTGTACATCGCTGAGCGCTTGCGGAAGCTGTTCTTGGTGGGAAGCGCGACCACTCGAGGTCGGGTAAATGTGCACGTCGGCATGTCTGCGAGGAATTCCGTCACAGTCTTAGAGACACCATCGATTTTCAGGCCCAGTGCATCGGTGGTGTTGAAGTCGTCGCTGCCAATGCTGAACTCCAAAGAGCTGAAGCTGCCGATCTTCGTGCCGAAGACGGTGACCTTGCGGATGAGGAGATCGTCGCAGTCTTTGAGGCCGACGTCTTCAAGGGTCGCATTGACCACCAAGTCCGCAGCGCTGGGCGACACGATGTCCGCGTCCTTGGGCATTCCGATCAGATTGAACTCTCCGGGCCAAGCCACATGGAACTTCTCGCCGAGAGTGTTCGTGAACTCTGGATCCAAGGCGACCGAGGAGGCTGCTCTCACTACTCCAGCTCCGAGGCGAGAGCCCAACAGCTGCATGGGCTCCTGTGAGACATGCAGGCCGCTGACAGCAGCGGCGGCTGACAGAGACAGAACGCGGAGCATCTTCAAAGCAAGTACAGATCAACTGACAGCACTTACGAAATGAGAAGTGAGAGTCAGGAAGCCAAGGATTGCTCGAACCAACGGCGACAATACCAATGCAGACGACGACAACGATGCCGGTGACGATGCCGATGACGATGATGACGATGACGATGACGATGACGATGACGATGAGGATGACGATGACGATGACGATGACGAAGCTGATCATGCTGATGATGTTGGTGATGATGATGATGATGATGATGATGATGATAATGATGAGCAGGATGATGATGATGATGACGACGGCGATGATGAT